ATGGTTACGCCAAAGTTTGTCCTGGAACTGCGGTAACTCAAAAACTAGCCGAAAAACAGTAGCTGGAATTTTGTCAGAATATTTATTGTTCATATGGAAAATCGTGTACCTAAAATGAGTCCCGATTTGCACTTGCGCCACAACTTAGAGTACTTCAAAGATATTTGTAGCGAAGCGGCTGTTGCGCTTACTGGATAAAGTGCCAGGCTGAAAATTCACTGGGATATTCTACTTTCAACTGTGGCTTTAATTCTGCTTGAAAGTGAAGTTACTCACAGGTAGGTTTAGAAATACTAAACTTTACCGCAAACTCAGAAACGAGTACATTTTGCAGCGAACGGCCGCCCTTATCCTCTCCCAACATCCAGTTCACTCACATATTTGGATTTTTTGGCGAACGACCGTTCTAGCAACATTTCCAGTTTTCAGTGAACAACTGGAACTGGATGTTGAGAGAGGGGGTGAGGACGGTCCTTCGCTGCAAAATGTGCTCGCTTCTCGATGAAACTTGCTTGAAAAGCTGAGCAAAAAAACATGCTCGCACCGGCTAGTCTGACGCGTTGCAGCCTGAGTTAAAGTGAGTACAAAAAATTCATAATTTCTGAAAACTTCCAGCTTTTTGTTCCTTAACGTACTGTTTAGGGATTAGTATAAAAGCACAGCAAGTAATCCAAGAGAAAAGAAAATTTTTTATTTTGCATACATTTCACTAATTTTCTCGTTGCTGTCTTTTTGTCAGTGTTGTTGTGAAAGCAAGAAACAAACAACGTGCATCAAACGTCAGCTTTAAACCATTTAAATTTCAGTTATTCCTGACGACTAAGTTTCTAATTTTCAGCAGCGAATCTGGTACTTCTTCAATGCTTTTAAAAAATGACAGTACACTGAGACAATATTGAATTCTGAGCCAAACGTGAAAGCCACCAATTACTTTTATGAAAGCGAAAATTGTTTTTGGTACTTACTTCAGAAGTACTCGTTCACGGCTATTTGCTACCAGAAAATATACGCTGGAAGAAACCAGAAAATCCAGAACATTCTGTTAGTGAGCTAGCGTACATCATCAACTGGCAGGTAAATTTTTGTGCGTAGTGAAAAAAGGTAAGGAAGGCTGTCAAAAAAAAAAAGTGTCGGAAATGTTTTTTTATTTCAAGAATCTTCGCCTGGGTACGATAACGGAGGATCTGGTATATTTTTTGTGTTCCTCAACATCATCGGAAACACGACGTGCTGCAATTCATGAGCTCATCAAACATTATATTGCACGATTTGAGCAGAAATATGAGAAATCAGTTTTCAGTGAAAATCAGGTCTCATTCTCTTTCTCCAATGTTTCCACAACTTCTGGTCGCATTCCTTTCCAATTGCATAAATTTTTGAAGCCTTTAGCGACGTTTCGTTCTGTAGCGCAGCAGAAAACTGTTTTTAATTCACAATGATGAAAATTGATACTACAAACTGTTGTATGAACTCAGAGCACAATGCAGAAAAATAATTGCCTTTCAGATTCTGGAATTAATAAATCGAGAATTTCGTTTCCAAGCGCTACGAG